TACATACTATTAGCAAACAGCAGACCGGAGTAGTGTCAGGTGTTAAAGAACGAAAAGATCTCTTTGGCTGAACTTGCCGCTGCTATAAACAGCTTCGGTATTAGAACAAACATTAGAAGCTTGAGTTTCTATTTTCATGGGGAACCGATGCGTGAGTAGGGCCTGCTTATAAGCACGTTTTCATTTGCATTTTAAGTTATCCGAGGGCTCTGTCGGTTTCGAACAGTTTTACGAGTGGTAAAAAACTATCATCTTGCTTGTTGCCTTAGCTTCCACTTATAGCCCTTGGAGAAAGGGACGACGACAGCGGTTGCTGACGAATTGTCTCCTTATTTCCTTCCTTTGTAGGTTATGCGACAGTCTCTTAACGAGCCAAGGAATTGACATTAGATACTAAACAATTCTTGAATTTTCCTAACTACTGCTAAATATATTGACAGTGTGACATCAGTCTGAGTCCCTAAAGCAGTTTTTACTGGCGGTTGAGGTCTATCTGGACCTCCCTTATTAAAAAACCCGACGTTAGCGTCTCCTTCATAACTTTATGGAGAATTTCACAAACATACCTGGCCGAAAATCAAGTTATGAAGTCTCGTTTTGCGTTCGACTGTTTTGCCTGGTTACCTGGCGACGGCGTTTTCCGGCTGCTGAGACTTAGTGGCATTATGTACTTGATACGTTAGATCGCACAAATAGCGACCTTAGAGACTGTTCCGTTCAAAGTTGAGGAAGAAGGCGACGCTCGTTTCTCAGTATCGTTGGCCAAATGTGACGACAAAAGAATGAAGTCAAATCTATAAGACTGGATAAGATAACTGAGGAGAATAAAATCAGCCACATCGCTTGATGTTTGAATTCTTAAGCCGTCGCCCCGAATAGAATCCACGTACAACCTCATGTGCTATAAGGTCTAGTAGCTCAAGTCTGTCTGACTTTTATCTACTTTTAGTCTTACGCGTGCATGATGAGCTGGTCTCACCATTACCTCAGGTCTTTGCTGAGTTGTCCAAATCGGACTTTAGCGGTCGATCCCCCTTTCGAATCGATGTCGTCATGGCCAACCCACCGTTCTTTTCCGACGTCGCTGACGCTGTTGCCGTGGAAAGCACGCGTTCGTTATCTCGTTGCCCAGCAAAATCAGCATCGTCTGCCGCTAGACAAGAAAGTCAAACGCCGGGTGGCGAGGTCGGTTTTGCAACCCGGCTGGCAGAAGATAGTCTCAATTTCTCCGATTCTGTCGGGTAAGTGGGTCCTTTTTTGACTTCGCGGGTTATAGCTTAAATTACTCTTTGTACCTATACTCAGGGTGCCACAAAACGGAGTGCTGTCGTTGCATCGCACATAATAGGTCAAACCCTTAACAAGCCAAATATGGAGTTGTCATGTCCCGCCTGCCACTATACGTAGTCTTATCTCCAGTCGTCTTGCTACTTGCTGACGATGGACGATAGAGGAGGTTGTATCGATCCCTTTGCAAACATTGCTCACTAATGCAAATCCGACACACTTGAAAATGCCGAAACAAGTTTGGATTTGTGGCTTGAAGGGTTACCAACGGGAGCGATAGTTAGATCCTCCAAAATTATGGGTAGTTTATAGGGACCGTAGCCTTATGAAAACTGTCACCTATGCGATTTGCGAGTGACTGAAATGTAGTTCATATGAAGTAAGAGATCAATACGCGTTTAGTAGACTTTAAAGATAGTGTTTGTCATTTGAACAAGAATAATTTAGCATTCAAAAGGTATTGTAAAATTACCAGATTATTTTTTTGTCCTTGATGACCTTCCCTACATTTTATTAGATTCATCTTCTTGGTATGAATTTTCGTATGCCTCGTTCTGTCTTTTAGCGTTTTCACGCTGATGTTGGGCAAAAAACGCAGCGTACCGCTTGTTCGCAAAAAGTTGTTCGAACTAGGAATTACTCAAAACTCGGTGTACGAAATGTGCCAGGGTCGTGTTATGCGGTGGGGGATCGCGTGGACTTTCATCCCTAACTTCAACTTTCCGGTATGTTTTCATACCTTTAGAATGTCATACCTTTAAAGTCAACGCTCGAACATTTGGTTTCGCGCATGTTATCCTTCTGGCTTCAATAGTTGGTTCTCATTTTTTAGCATCTATCTGACTCGCCTATTTTACTTTTGAAAATAGACTATGGTCACATAGTTTGCATATGGGACGTATCTGGTTAATCATTCAGTAGTCTTCGGAGTCAATTTGGCGTTAGCATCTCCTGCGTTTTTCTGCACAGACCTATCGATAGCTATCTCTCGAAGTAAAGTTAGCAAAATACATTCGCGATGATTGAATAAATTATGAGTCAAGCATTCAGAATACGAACTTCAGGGTACTGGCTTCCGGATGTGACCGCTATGCACATTGCTCCTTTTCTGTGGAACCATCGCCTTCAAGCTTGTCCAATCTTTTTAATCAAAATTATAACGCCGGATCGGATGAATGAAGTACTATTAGAAAACAAACAGGGAATGCCTGGGGAACTCATCAATGGTCTGAGTCCTTCAAAATGTGTTGTAGCTTTTAGCCTCATCCCCGTTCCAACTATGTTAAGGACAAATTTTTTAGTTATATCCTTTCATAGTTTACTGAACATTGTTTTTAACCCCCCACTCACAGGTTTCTGAATTTCGAAAACGAAGAAAATTCAGGCGGCCGCCTTTAACATATACTCTTCCCGAAAAGGTTTCCTGTTTATCCGCCTACAACCGAAAGACCCTAATACAGTGGCTTTCTGAGGAATTCAAGAAATTGAAAGTAAGTATTGTGAATAATATCTACTTTATTGTTCTTTGAATTTCATTACTCAGCAGACGCACATGTCAATAGTACGCTTTTGAGAAGAAGACGACTCAATCGCTGAGATAATACTTTTATTCGCCTGACGTTTCGAGATCGCTTTTGATTTTGATGTTTAGTCTTTGTCATCGCCCCCGAAAGATATTTTGGGTCTCTTTCGACTATTTGTGACAAATGCTCGCGTGTTACCCCAAGTGTTTTATCATGACCCTCTTTGCCGAAAGCTATTGTCTTGTACAGTGTCACTGATAAAAAAAGGTTTAGAATGTCGTCCCCCGGCCTCTGGGGATTCACGCATTTATCGGTCCATGAAGAGAATCCCAATCATTTACCATATTACCATGATGATATGGTGCATGTTGAAAATTAGCGAATGCAATCTTTTTGAATGAAAGTAATGAGTAGATAAGTTATCAATGTGTTCTATTGACCTAATTAATTTATTCAAATCTGCCACCCCCTATAAGTGTATGCTCGGTTTTGTACTTTGGAAGGGGTGATCAGGAGAATTGGAGTGGAGAACGTTCAAAAACTTGCCGCTTTTACGAAGCATCTTTGCCGTACGTTTCACTGACAGCGGTACATGGAACCGATCTTTTTAGAAGTGTGCCACTGCCGGGAAACTAATCAACTTCGTTCACGGTACTCGTGTAAGCATTACAGAAAGCAATTTTGGCGGACGTACTTTTTCGATTATTTCTTATCAGGCCTATACATAAGCAAGTTATGGTAGAACAGCGAAAGCTGAGCGCATTCATCCAACAGTAGTCAAGTGGGAAAGAGTTAAGGATGTCAAGGGGCACGGTATATGGGGGGAGGAAGGGAATCTGGCAGTGAGTTATTGGCTGTTGTGAACTTTCGCCGTTTTACCATAACATACTTATGTGAATGCGCGGGCCTAATGCTTGCTAATAGAAGCTGCATTTTCTCCAAATCTGACTTCGATTGTTTCTGTTCTATCTGGCGCTAATAGACAGCTATAGTCCTGGAGCACCTAGTAGTTTAGTTGGAGTATTCAGTGGAATGTTTGTTTCTCTGCTGATGAAACGTTTGAACCACACCACACGATCAACCAGTTCATTTTCAACTCTCAAATCCTCCACGTCTGATATGTCCATCGTCTTTCCTGGCGATACTCCCTGATTACGTACTGTTGGCCGCTATTTGACGGCCTACTAAGGCTGTGTTTAAGAACTTCAATATAGAGCAGCAATGCCCATCTTGTCTACCAACCAGGACAGACCAGTGAACATCACTTATTCGACATTTTCATGGAAAGGCATCCTTTGGGAAATAAGTAAA